AGGAGGAGAAGCGGTAACGGTAGCCGTCCGGCGGAGCCGGCGGAACCGGCGGAGCCGGCGGAACGATCCGGACGAGACCGAAACCATGTGTACCGCCAGCGCTAACGCTGGTGGTACAATTATATATAACAAATTACAATTCTTCTTTTTTTCAAATTCTCTGGTAAACTATAAACTGTACCTTTATTTAGTTATGCATTAGAAAAACTACACACAAAAGAGCAATAAAAGCCATATTATTTAATTTACATCAGAGCAGCCATCAGAAATATAAATACAAACAAACAAACAACTCAGGATATATTTTATCATTTGCACAGATACAAAGAGAACTATACCATTCTACCCCCTCCCCCCATTCCCCAACACAGCACTGCCTAACTGTGTGACCTACTTGGCCTTGGAGGCAGCAGCAGCAGGTGCAGTCTGGGGTCTCTCCCTGTCTGGGGAGGTCTTCACTGGCTGTGGCTGCTGTGCTGTAGCAGGTCTGTTCTTGTTGGACCTTTTGATCCTCTCCTCCAACATCGCCTGCTCTTTGTCGGGTAACTGAAATAGAACGGTATTGTGATGAAATAGAATACAATGGTCCATCTCTGGAAACCATATTCTATATTACTTTCAGAAGTTACATAATAGCAAGTGCCCATCCCATATTCAAAGGCCAGACTTTAGAACCTAAAAGCATCTTATCTTGTGTCATAAATGCCATACAGTCTTGATATGAGTCTAATCACAAAAATTTGCTGTCCAAGCAAGTCTCTTTTGAGCTGAACTGACTTTGACACACATGAGATAAATCTGAGTAGCACCCTCTCTGATAGCACCATGGTGTCAACTTACATTCCCAATATACTTGAACACACTTTCCCCCAGGATGACATATGCCTCTACTGCCGTGTTGAGGGCTGCAGACCTGACACTGTTGTCCCTGTCACTGATCTGGCCTGCTATCAACTTCAGGGCTTGTGCTGGGGACGGCTGACAAACATTGATGCCATACACTTCTATCAGACTGCCCAGTTCTTCTAGACACTCTGGAACACAATTGGTTGTAGAGGTTATTAGCCGGAGTTCTCAGCTGGGTCAAGGGCAGTAAGACTGAATATAACAATTTTAATAGTCAAAGATTCAACTGAAAATGTTTATGTTTGAAAGAAAAATGCCTAACCTGTTCTCTGTTTAGAATTCTTGCTTTTCAACCCATCCAGGATAAAACTAAACATTTTGCTGGCTGGGTATATTTTACAAATAAGCTTGAATATATTCCTCACACCTCGCCTTATGTTTTCATTCTTATCTCCAACCTAGAAAACAGAAATGATGATGTTCCTCTATATGTTAATAGTCTTTGATTAATTAAAATGTAAGGAATTAAATAATAACCATTCTGTAAGATTTGTGTTTGCAAGCATCCTACAGTTTTCTTTACATGCCAACATTTGCTTTGTGTAATTACCAACAAAGAAATTCATTATCATTATTATTATTTTTATTTAAAAATTTTGCATGAGAAAAGTAGAATATTTCACCTTAAGAATCAAGTATGGCACAAAGGCATAGGCTTCAAACTCCAGGAGGTGATAGTCCTCCTCTGCCAGTAGACTGAACACAGAGGCCAGGTACTCCAGGGCCTTGATGTGGACAGTGGGATTAGTCTCAAAGAACCTCAAGGTCATCCAGCGGAGGATTAGGTCAAGGTTGGCCACAGTGGCATCACGGTGTTCTTCAACTGCCTGAAATCGAGTCGGATAAAGTGATTATCAACATTTCATTTGTTTGAATCGTAAATATTTATGGCAAGTATGTGTCTGTATTTGTAAATTGGATTTTGTATTGTATATGGCAGTCAAATTAATTGAACTTAATATCTCAGGGATCTGCGTTCTTTTAAGCCTTAAACAGTAATATTTCAGTAAGATGGTGTAAAATATGGATGTAATAAGTAAACTTATCTGACAACAAAACCAACGAAAGCATACTTTTATTAAGGTGTCCAATGCTTTGATATGTTGTTTAAAGTCTTTGTTAAACATCTGATCCATCAATGTCTTGTTCACATTTTGTTCCATATCCTTCTTCAGCTGCTCAACAAATTCAGGCAGTGGAGAGGTAAAGTTCCATTTTAATGTCTGAAAACACAAGTTGCACTGTGAGCATGCATTTCCATTAATACTGAAACAGTGCTGAAACTTAGGCTTAATAAGAATATAATGTTATATAACAATTAAAAACTGATAGTAATTTTCAAATCAAATTCTAACAAAATGACATCTGAAGCACTGTTCAAGGTGATAAAGTTTGAAACCAACTTCTTTCCCATTCATTATTTAAAATCTTGCATTATTTTAGTAAAACAATACCTTCAAGTTTTTCTCATCCTTCATTCTCTTCTCTTTGGATGAGCCAATGGTAAGGGGAGGACTCAGGTCAACCTCCACGTCTTTTTTACTGCTTTTTCCAGCAGCTGGTCCTTTCTAAAATCACAAAAAGACAAATGTCTAGAAAACAAATATATATGGGTGAAAATAAAAAGCCTGGTGTTCTGCAAATAATCTTTTTTCAACTACTCAAATTTAGTACAGATTTCATTCTACAACAAGAGAAACTCTTATACATTACACTGATGCAATTTAAAGGGGTAACAAGCACCACAGTTATTGACTAAAGTGTATCAGCTTATGGAGAAATCACTGAAATTCACCTTCATTCCTCTGACTACAATCTTGCCTCCAGCCTTTGGCTTGCCTTCAGCTTTAGGTGGGGACTTGGCTGCTGCCTTGGGTGCTGATGGTGCAGGCTCTGGCTCATCATCCTCAGGTGGTGCTGCTACTGGTGTAGGGGCAGCAGATGTTGTGCTCTTACTTTTAGGTGGCGGTTTTGCGGGAAGATTTTCCCTAGCCTTATCTAACTGAGCCTTCACTGGTTCTTTGGAAGATGCCTTAGAAGTTATAGAATATAGGTTTTTTTTTTAAAGTAAACTGTGAAGAACTACTACACCATTCTAAAATTCTGAAAATTGACAACAGCTTTCACATCACACACAAAAAGCTTTGCAGTATTAAGTTATCAGCTACCAAGGATAAGTCAAGAATTAAACCAATTTTGTGCATTCAAATGTAACATTACAAAATCAATACTAGGAACTAAACTTACAGGCAATGAATTGCAGGCCTTGAGGAAGGCATCGTAGCCTGTGTGGATCATGAAAGGGACCAGGGCCTCCTGAGCCTTGGTGCGCACCCCAGCATTCCTGTCCTCCAGACAGGTGAGAATGGAGGAGATGCAAGCCAGGAGCTCCTCCTTGTTGTCTTTGGGCACCTTCTTGCAGCTGGGCAACTTTGTGGCCAGCCATCCAAGCAGCTAGAGTCAGTGCAATGAGAAAGTATATATATTTGAAACATGAAGACTCATTAAGTATATCTCAATGCAGAAATAACTGTCAAAGGCACATTAACTTTCATGAATAACGGTTATATGCTCCAGCAATCCTCTTCTGTTTTGCAATAAGTTACATTAGTATGATTATTGTTAGAGGCATAAAAATAGACAAAACAGATTTTAGTAGAATATGAAAAAACTTCCTGATGCTTATACTTCTCCATGTGTATAACAAATAAAAAGCAGAAAAAGTTCCATGGATATCACTCACAACATTACCAAACAATACAACACTAAACTCACCTCTGTCTTGAGATTTGGATTTCCTTTCTTCAGATGCTCACTGAAGATCTCTCCCTCCAAGAAAGGAAGCAAAGTGCATTGCTCCACCCAGGCATCCAGTGCAGTCCCTGTGGCTGCTCTCAGCTGGGGCTACACATATGGATCAAAATGTTCTATATAGTGTCAAGTCGATTGATGGAATAAACATACATAGAGATGTTGTGACCATGGCAATAAAACTTTATTTGGTTTTAGGGATGTTTTTTTTAGCAAAATGCGAGTACTTTCTATCAGTATGTATGTCAAATAGTACACCGTTTTCCTTTCCTGATATGCCTAGAACACTTCTCACTAACACTCCAAGTGAACAGTTCCAGCATATCACTTGGTGACAGAATCTAACACATATCAACAAAATTTACAATTTCTTTACACCTGTACACCCAGGTGTCAGAGAAACAGGATTTGAATACCAGACCAAAGGTCTGTATAAAATATATTTCTCCATTTTACATTTCTTACCTTGGAATCTCCAAAGCATCCTACCATCCCTGGCCCGATAATGCGCACATGCTGTTTGATTTTGGGACCAATAGCAGTGGCCAGAGTTTGACAGATAGTAAGGCAAGTGGAAACCTAACGAGTAGATAAAACAGGTTTATTATAATGATATGCTCTTTTATCTATTTGACTGATTAAACCCATTTTCTTTAAAAACATGCACTTAACACTTGCTACACAAGCCAAAATGCTTTTTTTTGTCTCTTTTAAAAATCAAATTTCATGAGTTTGCCAGCCCTCTGAAGCTGTGTGGGCTCTCTGATACAGCACACAGTCATGTGCACTCACCAAGATCTTGTTGGAATCTCCTAGTCTTGCCTTCAAGGCCTCTGGGAGACTGCCCAAGTTTGGAGTAATGAACTTGGCCTCATTGATTATGGCAGCAACCTTCTGAAGAGCCTCATTTCTGATCTTCCAGTTTTTGTCTGCCATCTCTGTCACAATTTCCTCTGTGATTTTATCACTGTGGGGGAAAAATGAAGTGAATTCATATTTTGGTGACTACATTATTTTGGAAATTCTGCCATCATTATGAACTATTCCATTCTTTTTTTAGTCATCGTGCATTTAATCTTCCTTCCTCTAAATGTGCAATCACATTTAACTTTTTCAGCACAATCAAAATTTGAAACTGTGAGACCAGCTAGACCACACAAATTATCACTGCCATATTCTTTATCATACTAGTATATCAATATCTGCACTGTATCCCGTTCTTACCTGATGTCATTTCTAGGGACCAAATCTGCCACATCTGCCTGCTCCTCTCCTTCTTCCTCCTCCTCATCATCATCATCACCACCTTTGTCTTTTGGAGTGGTGCCTCTGGTAGGTGCTGGAGGCTTCTCTCCTTGAACCTAGACATCAAAGGTGGAATACTAAAAATCACATTGCAAATATATGAAACATAATTCAGCTCTAATACATTTCATGTCTAGAATACTGTTATTTAAGATCTTGGCCATAATAACATATCTATCATGCAAAGGATTTTAGAAGCCAAAGTTTTTCATATTTTTTAGCTGATGTTGACGTATCACCTTGGCAATCTCGTCATCAATCTGTTGTAAGAGAGCAGGTTTCTCATCCTCAAACAAAGTCCTGAGTGTAGGTCCCATATACATGTGTGCCACAGCCACAAAGGCAATAGCAGAGGTTCTCACAGCCTGAGGGAGAGCATGATGTGGTTTTTAAGTAATAAGACACATAGTTATGGCACTAGATATCTCATATACCAGATTAATGTCACTATAAGATAAAATCATTGTTAGTAATACAGATAGCATGGTACCTCCAACACCCTACCACCAAAGCATATATAATTTCAGTTATTGTTTATCCTTCATCTCTTCATTTGTCCAGTCATTACATTTTTTTGTATCAAAAGTGTTATATACTTCTCTAAAAAATTAAATCTAAACTTTATGTATAAAATGTACGTACTGGGTTTGTAGCTGCAAAGGCCTTCTTGAGTACTTCTATCACAGGTTTAACATTGATTCTAAAAAAAATAAAGAAAATACTCAACACACTGGCTTTGAAAGACCAATACACACTATTTACAATAACATTATAGCTGTGAAGAGTGCAATAGATATATTACATTATTTTATTATTCATATGGAAACTAAAGTCAAATGCCCTCACTTAAATCCAAACTCCTTGACTGCCTTGGCAAGCCAGTTCAGTGCCTCAGATTGGTTCTTGGGATTCTTTTGAGCAAAGGCTAGTTTCATTACCTAAAAAGACGCAAAGGCAAAGTTTCATTACCTAAAAAGAGAACTAAGTGAATGTAAAAGTGGGTTCTCAAGCTCTGACAAAATTATCAGACTGACGTTAACGTTTCAATACATTTTGTGGTAAAGAATGACACTGATCAGTGATAGCTTTGCATTATGTGGATATTTACTTTAATGCCAACTTATACTGTGGTCACATCCTCTCACCTCCTGTGCCACAAACTCCAGTGATGTGGCCTCTGCTATACAGCTGAGAGCCTCCTGACAGGTGCCCCCATTCTTCACATCCCCCACCTTGTCCACCATGTCTCCCAGAATACACTGGGCAGAGGTCTGGCTGAACTTGGAGTTCATTGCCAGGTGGCTGACCAGATTCAGTTTCACTCCTAAGACCTGGAGGACAAGCGAACAGATGTGATATCAACACCTTGGACTTGAAACATTTGAATTTATCTTCAAACATTATTTTATTCCTCATTAATGTAAATATCTCACTGTGTGATTCTATATTGTCAAAATACTTTCCACTTTTTTATTCTCAAAAACTAAAGAATAAGGTTATTAATGTATCATTATGTTCATAATAAGACTCACCTGAAAGTTGGTATCTTTGAGTCCTGGTTTTTTACTCAGCACCCTGACACAGACCTGGGTAGGGATATCATCTCTGGTCAAGCCTGTGATGACATCTCTCATCTTCTCT